AAAAAAAAAAAAAAAAGATTTTATTTATTTATTTGACAGAGAGCAAGCACAAATGAGGTTGCAGGGGAGAGGGGCAGAGGGATTGGGAGAAGCAGGCTCCCTGGCTGAGCAGAAAACCGAACTCGGGGCTCGATCCTAGGACGGGGGGATCACGACCATAGCAGAAGGCAGGTGCTTAACAGTCTGAGCTACCCAGGCACCCCTACTCCATTATTTTAAGTTAAGTACTAGTAAAAATATCAAAACCACCAATAACATTTCAATTATGAAAGAAAAAAAAAGAATTAGTTAAAATAATACTTGGAGCCTGAATTCTAGTCCTGCCCAGGTTGAATCATGGCCCTGCTATAGGGCAGATATATAATCATGGACACAATCCTGCACTTAACCCTCTGAGGCTCATGTTTTTCTCTTCTGAAAATGAGGGATTTGGGATATAGTTAATTTCAACTTGAAAATTCTACTTAATTAATTGAGAAATGTGAGAAGTAAACTTAGAGATTTTTAATAACAATATGTATATAATATATCAAGAAAGAAATTCTGGAAAGACATGTTGGACTTGGAAAAAAACTGAAAGAACTGCACAGATTATTTTATATAATCCTATGTTTACCTTTGTGACAGTGATGAAATCTGGTCCGAAAAAGACACTTTTTACTCCTTCAATTCTAAATAACTGCCTGTGAATAAATAAGAAATACAAGATAATAAAATGCTTTATTACAAAAAAGTTTAAACATATACAAAGGGAGACAGAAAAGTAAGAGAGCCTTTACATACCCATCCCCAGCATCAACAATTCATGGCCAGCAATAATCAACTCATGGCCAATCTTGTTCCATCCTCTTACCCTACGATCTAGCAATCACTCTTGGGTATTACCCTAAGAGAAATGAAAACATGCTCCACAGAGACGTGTCCACGAATCTTCATAGCAGCTTTATTTACAAAAGCCAAAAAGAGTATCTGGAAATGCCCATCAACTAGTGAATAACTGAACAGACTGTGTGTATCCTTACAATGCAGGACTACTCAGCAATAAAGAATAAACCAGAGATACATGCAAAACCAAGGACTCTCAAAAGCATTACGCTAAATGAAAGAAGCCAAACACAAAAGACTATATGGTGGCATTATATAAAACCCTAAAACCATAAACTGTGGTGGCAGAAAACTCAATAGTTACCAGAGTGATAGATGTGTCAACTAACTTTACTGTGATAAGCATTTTGCAAGGCATATGTATATAAAATCAGTACATGGTATACCTTAAGCTTACATAATGTTTTACATCAGTCATATCTCAACAAAGTTGGAATTCATTGCCATGAAACAAAATAGTTACCAGGGTATGGAAATGAAGAAGATTGAATGCAAAGAGAAATGAGGGATTTCTGCAGTAATCAAAATGTTCTCTATTCTTATTTTAGTGGTGGTTACAGAACTGTATATATATATGTGTGTGTGTGTATATATATATATATATATATATATATATATATATATATACTTTTAAAGATTTTATTTATTTATTTGACAGACAGAGATCACAAGTAGGCAGAGAGGCAGGCCAAGAGAGCGGGGGGGGGGAGGGGGCGGGGAGAAGCAGACTCCCTGCTGAGCAGAAAGCCCGATGTAGGACTCGATCCCAGGACCCTGAGATCATGACCTGAGCCGAAGGCAGAGGCTTAACCAACTGAGCCACCCAGGTGCCCCACAACTGTATATATTTATCAAAAGTCTGGACTATACACTTAAAACTGATGAATTTCATTTCATGTACATTATATCTCAGTAAAATTAGTTTTTCAAATCCTCTAAGAGGAGAGGGGAGGATTATAATTTGAAAAGCCCCTGTAAGGGATTTTGAAATGCACCATCCTTTCCCAATCACTGATATATGTAACATACAGAGCAATGACCTTTTTCCCTTATCCCTTTTAGGAATAAAAGTTGACATATTCCAAAAAAGGTTAGTTTACCTTTTCTTTGTCTATCATTGCCAAGAGTGTTACTGGAATTACTATCTGAATTATTGAGAAATTTGTCTGAAATGATGTCATCTGGGCCCTCTAATTCAATATTAAATTTACAAGAAGTTACAAGGTACTTGGTTACATAATATGATCCAATAAACCCAAGCACAGACCTATAAGCAGGTCCCTTGACTGGCTCTATGCATCTGCACTGTTAGCAAAGCTATTTTCTTCACATGAAAGGACCATGCAGAAGAATCAACCTGATCTTTGGGCCATGTCATGGGGACTGCTTTAGGCAAGAATTCATAGGTTCTATGCTTAAAGAAACAAAACGCTTAAAAGGAGTTAAAATGTTATTATATATACTTTGCCACTTAGGTTACTTTCCTCAGGACAATTTCAACTTCTACTTCAACTTCAACTTCAACTTCAAAATAAAATATAATACCCAGCAGTGAACACATATCCCAAACATAGTCTGACTTATTCAGAATACGAAGACTATTACCTCTCTTAAGCTGGATACTGTGATTGTTAAAGTTTGACGGCAAACATATCCAACATAGTGAACTAAGAAGTCAGATTCTTCCAACCCACAACTGAGCTATTCATTTTAAACATTTAAGTCATAAGCCTTAATATTTGTTCCTGTTAGATTTTACCTTACTTGCTTTAATCTATCATTTCGGCCTAATGAAACCTTTAAACATTTCTCTGAGCTTTGCCATCTAACATAGAAGCAATTCTTCCCATCTGGAAACTGATAATTTTATCATCATTAATGTCGCAGGTAAAGAAAAGTATGGAATAAACATGCCAACTAGAGAGATATTACAGATACTACAGAGCCCCTGTATATGCCACTAGAGACACATTTACACTCTGCTTAAATTTTTTTTTAGATTTTATTTTAGATTTTATTTATTTATTTGAGATCACAAGTAGGCAGAGAGGCAGGCAAAGAGAGGAGGAAGGAGGCTCCCCGCTGAGCAGAGAGCCCGATGTGGGGCTCAATCCCAGGACCCTGAGATCATGACCTGAGCCGAAGGCAGAGGCTTAACCCACTGAGCCACCCAGGCACCCTACACTCTGCTTAAATCTATTCTGTCTTGTCCAGAAGGATAGTAAGAAACAGGTCAAATGCCCATCTGAAGATACACTACTGCTCATTCATTCAATTACTCATTCATTCAACAAATATTTGAAAACTCACTGAATATCCGACACCGTACTAAGCACTAGAGATACAATGATGGGCAAGACAGACGGGTCTCTGTTTTCAGGAAGCTTTGCATTCTAGCTTACAGTAAACATTCTCTGTTCAAACAACAAAAACAAGATTAGTTCTGCCTGACTGAAGATAATAAATTCTGTGAATCCAGGAAATGAGCTACTTTAAAAAGACTAATTTGAAAAGGGCTTTTGCCAACTGAACATCTGACAGAAATAATCTCCAACTCATCTGTAACTGAAGAGTCTTTTTTATTTTTATATACTTTTATTTAAAGATTTATTTATTTATTTATTTGACAGACAGATCACAAGTAGGCAGAGAAGCAGGCAGAGAGAGAGAGGAGTAAGCAGGCTCCCGGCTGAGCAGAAAGCCCGATGCGGGGCTCGATCCCAGGACCCTGGGATCATGACCTGAGCCGAAGGCAGAGGCTTTAACCCACTGAGCCACGCAGGCGCCCCTATTTTTATATACTTTTAAATACAAAATACATAATTCACTTTTGATGTAAACATTTAAAACTATTCATATAAAGTGAAAACGCCTCTTGACCACCCCTCCCCCAAATCCACTGTTATCAGTTGGGTGTACATTCTTTCAGACCTTTATGTTAGTGTATTTTTGTTTATTGTGTTTTTTGTTTTTATATAGGTAATAATCATATTGTACATAGTGGTCTACAACATGCTTTCTTCACTTAACAGTATTATTATTATTTTTTTTAGAAGGGGAGAGAGATTGGGGCAGAGGGACAGAGGGAGAGGGAGAGAGAATCTTAAGCAGGTTCCATGCCCAGTGCAGAGGCTGATACGGAGCTCCATCTCACAACACTGAGATCATGACCTGAGCTGAAATCAAGAGATGGACACTTAAGCGACTGAGCCACCCAGGCACCCCAACAGTGTGTCTTATGACAATAAAAGAGGGTTCTCCTCATCCTTTTTTAGTATCTAAGACTATGGACAAAGTTTATTGAACTTTTCCTATTTAGGTTGTTTCCAACTTGTCACCACTACCAAAAACGCTGCAATGAACATCCTTATGTCACCTTGTATGTGTTATGTGGATGTTCTTTTTTTTTTTTTTTAAAGGTTTGATTTATTTATATCATCTGACATACATCTAACATGTCTTTAGCGAAATTTAAAAATTGTCTCTGACTTGTTTTTAAAAAATCATGCCAAATCTAATAGCTATTATTATTTATGGTTCTGAGTGCAATATTTTAGAAACTACTCCATTTTGAAACATCTAGAAAAATTCAGCTATCCTTAAGAAAAAAAATGAACAAGTTGTCACTGTTTTTTATAAAGAGTTAAAGATTTACAATGGAAATTTATATTATTTTCATGAATTTTTTAAAGTAAAAATATAAATTCTTATTTAGTCCTGCTATAGATCTTCAATTACTTTTCAGAAGGGTTTCCTAATATTTGCTGTTATTTTTCTCTTATCTCTTACCTGAAAAGAAAATAAAGCATTCTCTACACTAAAAACAATGCAGTACACGTAAAAATATAATCACTAAATGAAGCCGCCTTCCCCCCAAAGTCAGTTATTTATGTTTCTTGGTAAAAGCAAATGAGAAATAGTATTATACCTAGCCAGAGGGGAGCGAAATGCTGCAGCTGGTGTGGGAAAATCCATGGTCCTTGTCTCAAGAACTGGTTTTCCTGGGATAAACTTTAAACTGTTGGGATTTGGGGTATCTTGTGTTTGAATAAACATGTGTCTCACTAAAAGAGAAAAAAGAAAAAGCATGTTATTCCAGAAAAAAACAGTGGTTAAGTTTATGAACTATGAAGTGCTCATTTTCAAAGAATCAAAAGATGTAAGAAGAAAGAAAATAAGGCTTGTTGCCCAAGCCAATGAAATAATTTTTAAAGACAACAAAGAAGTTTAATGATATATTTAGAATAACTGCATTGAATTTTATATTACTACTGATTATTTTTGTTATTCAACAGACTCTAGCAATAGCCTTATTTTAACTAGGAAGGCAGATCATCATTCAAGAACCCTCAATGTATTTTATTTGGTGACCTAGTGCTAATGGCTATCATGATCATAAATCATCACTGTGATATCAAAAAGAGCAAAATGTTACTTTCTCTTCTTTCCAAAGTGCTACCAATCTTTTAAAGAGAGATAGATAAATTTATTTTTTAAAAGATTTTATTTATCTATTTGACAGAGAGAGAGACACAGCAAGAAAGGGAACACAAGCAGGGGGAGTGGGAAAGGGAGATGCAGGGCTCAACCCCAGGACCCCAGGATCACAAGCTGAGCCGAAGGTAGACGCCTAATGACTGAGCCACACAGGCGCCCCTAGAGAGATAAATTTATAATATTAATATTTAGTGTGTGAATACCTACTATATGCCAGAGACGGGGGCTGAGTGCTTTAAATATATTTAAGCCTTTAACAACCCCATGAAGAAACCCCATTACTCCTATTTCACTAATGAAGAAAATGAAGCTTAGAGTTAAGTAACTTGACCAATGGTATAGACTTAGTGATGTTATAAATTATCATGTAAGTGGGAACATATGTGAATTACTTTCTTGAATATTTTTATTTTTATTTATTTATTTATTTATTTACTTTCTTGAATATTTTTAAATTATCTTTACAGGTTCTTCTTTGTTTCCTCCAAGGCCATGAATAGTTCAAGAACAGATTCATTAAAGGAATAAAGAACAGAATCTTAATTTCCTACCTTGCTATTATGAAAACAGTTCATAGGACAAAAGATAGTAGTGGAATTTTAATGGTCTTAAAACTATTAACGAGGTCCTGATGGTTTATTACAAAAATAAGCTTTCTAACCAAAACAAAATAACTCTCATCTTAGAGCAGTATACCTAGATAGATTAATTTATTGAGCAATTGGGCATGATGCTGAGTACTCCCTATGAATTACACTTTTTAATCTTTTTTTTTTTTTTTTTAAAGATTTTATTTATTTATTTGACAGAGAGATCACAAGCAGGCAGAGAGGCAGGCAGAGGGAGAGGAGGAAGCAGGCTCCCCTAGAGAGCAGAGAGCCCGATGCGGGGCTCGATCCCAGGACTCTGAGATCATGACCTGAGCCGAAGGCAGCGGCTTAACCCACTGAGCCACCCAGGCGCCCCTACACTTTTTAATCTTTACAGTCTCCCAGGGAAACACTGTTTTTATCCTGTTTTACAAATGAGGAAACTAAAGCTCAAAGTCACTCAGTAGTTAAGAAATAAAGACAGGATTAAAGCCCTGCCAATTTCCCACATGGACTTGCTTAACCACTATGCATACATACTGCCACCCCAGACTCACTAATGCCCAGGATGATAGGAAAATACATTTAAAATCAGTCTTCCTGGGGCACCTGGGTGGTTCAATGGGTTAAGCCTCTGCCTTTGGCCTAGGTCATGATCTCAGGGTCTTGGGATCCAACCCCACATCAGGCTCTCTGCTCAGCGGGGAGCTTGCTTCCCTCTCCCTCTCTGCCTGCCATTCTGCCTACTTGTGATCTCTCTGTCAAATAAATAAATAAAATCTTAAAAAAAAAATAAAAATAAAATCAGTCTTCCTGGGGCACCTGGGTGGCTCAGTGGGTTAATCCTCTGCCTTTGGCTCAAGTCATGATCTCAGGGTCCTGGGATCGAGCCCCATATCAGGCTCTCTGCTCAGCAGGGAGCCTGCTTCCCCCGTACCCCCCTCCCCTGCCTGCCTCTCTGCCTACTTGTGATCTCTTTCTGTGTCAAATAAATAAATAGGGGCGCCTGGGTGGCTCAGTGGTTAAGCCTCTGCCTTCAGCTCAGGTCATGATCTCAGGGTCCTGGGATCAAGTCCCACGTCGGGCTCTCTGCTCAGTGGAGAACCTGCTTCTTCCTCTCTCTCTCTCTCTCTGCCTACTTGTGATCTCTGTCAAATAAATAAATAAAATCTTTAAAAAAAAAAATCATTTAAATAAATAAATAAAATCTTTAAAAAAATAAAATAAAATAAAATCAGTCTTCCTCTCCTGTCATAACCCTCATATTGTATGTCTGAGGAAAAATAGTAAAATATCAACAAGCAACAGCTTTATTTTAAATTAGAAAGAGATTAAACTTGGCAAAATACAGGATTTGTATGGAAGTGATTTCTTTTTACCCATTATAAAAGATTCTAATTTCACAGCTGGGAGCAGTTTTTACACCTTACCAAGCAGCCATCTAACTGATGTTGAGTCATTTCCTTGGTGAAGGAGAAACTGAAACTAAACTCCCATACATTTTAAGACACTGTTCTATAAATATTATCAATTGGTGACTTGGTGAACAGGCAAATCCTATAAAAGACAAAAATTTAAAAAGATAACCTCAAAATCCAAATACTTGATTTAAAATATTTATACCTGCAGGGCGCCTGGATGGCTCAGTCAGTTAAGTGTCTCCCTTTGGCTCAGGTCATGATCCCAGGGTCTTCGGATGGAGTCCTGCCTCAGGCTCTCCACTCAGGGGCAAGTCTGCTTCTCCCTCTCCCTCTGCCCCTCCCACCCTGCCTGTGCTCTGTCTCAAACAAATAAAATATTAAAAAAATAAAATGAAATAGTTATACCTCCAATGAATAAATTTCTCTGAAAATCTGTGTTACCTGGGAACAAGTTTTCAGATGGAACATTAAAGAAAGGCCTGCCACCAATTTCTATAAATATAAGACAACAAGGTTCTTTTAACCTTGGACCTGACCAATCATTTCTTGAAGCCTTTCTTAATAATTTATTGGTAATCAAAATCTCCACACACATTAAACACTCTCCCACAGTATTTGAGGAATTAAATCTGGTATTTTTCTACTCAGTCCATTTGTGTAAAACTATACCTGCAGAAAGAAAAGGTTTTAGAAATACTTGAAGGTAAAAACTATAAATGTGGGGTGTCTGGCTGGCTCAGTGTGAAGAGCATGCATCTTTTGATCCCAGGGTCATGAGTTTGAGCCCCATGCTGGGTGTAGAGATTACTAAAAAAAATTTTTTTAAAACTACAAATATAAAAAAAATTTGAGAGCATAATCTATATATATTGTCTGAAGTAGAATATATATAACATCATGACATAAACTTTTTCTTTTAACAATGAACAAAGCTATTTCGAAATAGTAATGTGACTAGGTATTAACAAAATCATTTCAATTACAGTCTAAGCTGGGCTTAATTAGGTATTTCAGAAATGACTCCCAGGTCCATCATCCAGAAAGATGCCCCTGAAAGTGTCAGCAGGGTTATAACAAAATAGAATGATCTAAAATAATTTTTCCCATTATGCTTGGTACTAATAAGTAACAGGTTAATAGAGAGGCAGAAGCTTCCCCCAAAATATACATTTGTACTTAAAGTCAATATCAAAGACTAAGATCAGTGGGTTTCCAAATTGAAAGACCTGATGACCACATAATCCCATCTCACAAAATGTAGAAGTCCAATTAAAGTAGCTTAACTTGCTAACTCAATATTTATGCCTAAATTTTTAGTCTGTGATTCAAGGAGCCAGGCAAGGGTTTCTTCTTTTTGCCCTGGTACACAGGAGAGGTAAGGTCTTTACCCTGATCCAACTCATGTGGTTAGCCAGAGTCAGCCACCTGCCAGAATACGGCCACAAAGTGTTTAAGCTGCTGATGGAAATGGGAGAGGGCCCAAGGGCTGAACCCAAACTCTTACAGCTCCATAAGCACATATAGGCAGACATTTACACACAGACACACAAAGACAACTCCTAGGGTTCCCTGATCACATGACACTGGTCATATTTCAATAATGTCCAAATCCTATCTTCATACCTACTTCCAATATTAATGAAAATAAAACCATGTAATCAACAAAGTTGTCAACAAAAGCCATAACTAATTAATTTGGGCCCCAAAAAAGAAAAACTACATCGAAAGTACTATTTTCTAAGGCTCGGACAAAAACTAGAAATTTACTGATTTTAGGTGTATTCTTTTTTCCTTTTTTTTTTTTAAAACAATTACCTCCTCCTCCTCCTTCTTTTTTTTTTTTTTTTTAAACAGATCTTTCTTATTTATTCCAGAGAGAAAGAAAAAGAGCGAACATGAGCAGGGGAAGGCAGGGGCAGAGAGAGAGGAAAAGGAAGAGGGAGAAACAGACTCCCTGCTTCAACAGAAGCCCAACGCAGGGCCCAACCCCAGGACCCTGGGATGACCCAAGTTGAAGGCAGACGCTTAACCGACGGAGCCACCCAGGTGCCCCTTTTAGGTGTATTCTTAACAAAACAAGGAGGGCAGCAGCTTAAAATACATAGCGTTTTTTTTTAAACAAACCCATTTGTAACTTCTTTTTGTAATATTTTCATTTGAGAAATCAATCTTGAGCAATGTTCCAGAAGATGTTATTCAAGATACTGAGATTTCATAGGCCTATTGGACACTATGCTCAGGATTCTTTTTTTTTTTTTTAAGACTATTATTTGAGAGAGAGAGAGCACATGAGCGAGTGTGTGCAAGTTGGGGAGGGGCAGAGGTAGAGACAGAATCTCAAAAAGACTCCCCACTGAGTGAGGTGCCCAATGACGTGGGGTGGGGCTCATGGGGCTTGATCCCAGGACCCTGGAGATCACAACCTGAACTGAAACCAACAGTCACATGTTCAAATGACTGAGCCACTCAAGTACCCCTGTGCTCCAGATTCTTGAAATCTAATGCCAAAATATGTATAAAATAATTATAATAAATGTTATGACACAAAAAAGTGCTGTTATTTTTATGCACCTGAATGGAAAATTTACAAATTCTTATCTTTTATGATCCAGCAAATAGTATACAAGCACAGTTTCATTAGCTTCTGAAACATAATTTGTTCTAAATGGTAAAATTTTACCTGTGTTACATAAGGTTGCAGGCAGTGGGAAACGTGGCTTATGTACAAACTGATGCAGAAGCTGTTTCTTAATGGTGTATGGATTCATCATAGGACAGAATCTATATTTAAAAACAAATAAAAACGACATTTCAAGAGAGAATCTTTTAAGCTCAATTTCTATTTCACATATATAACAACAAAGCTTAATGTCATTCTCTATCCACATTATTTCCACTTCCTTAGGCAAGCAATATCTGCAAACAATTTAAAAACAATGGCTCAATTGGAAATTTATACCCTTGATAACCAAGTGTACACAGGATAGTACAATATCCAGCGTTAAGAAACAAAAATGCAACTACATTTGTGATTTACAGCCTGGATTCCCAGACTCTTAGCTAGTTCTTTGCAGGAAGGATGCAAAGAACTACCGTGTTTTGTTTTGTTTTTTTCCTTTGTAAATTTAAAAAAAACTGAACGCGCACAGTTCAAAATTCGAAGGGAACAAAAGTAAATACTGTGCAGTCTCCCTCCCTTTTCTGTCTCCACCACCATGTTTCCCAGGAAAGAGAGAACCAATACTACCTGTTTTTGTTTTGTTTTGTTTTGTTTTTTTTGACAGAGAGAGAGAGAGCACAAGTAAGCAGATAGAGAGGGAGAAGCAGGCTCTCCACCAAACAGGGAGCCCAATGTGGGACTCCATTCCAGGACCTGACCTGAGCCGAAGGCAGCCGCTTAACCGACTGAGCGACCCAGGCACCCCAATACTTCCTGTTTTGAAAGGTATTTCAATACTTCAAAAACTCTAATAGAAAGTGTACTATTCTCCTCCAAATTGCTAAAAAAAAAAAAAAAAAAAAAAAAAAAAGCCAACAATCTATATATGCTTTTTGCCTGGAAACTTCTTAAGAGTGTTTTTAACTTTGGTTATTTCACTGTAATAGAGTACTGATTGGCTATTTTTTCATGGCTTTGACAAATTAAAAATGAAGGGAGAAGGGGAAAGGAAAAAAAATTCACTAGAGAAAAATTTTAGAAATCTGATGCAAACTACTTTAAAATCCAGGTTGCTTTTTTTTTTTTTTTTTTTTTTTTAAAGTAGGCTCCACACCCAACATGAAGCTCAATGTGGGGCTTGGAAGTCAGGACCCTGAGATCAAGACCTGAGCAAAGATCAAGAGCCAGATGCTTAACCAACTGAGCCACCCAAGCACCCCAAAATCCAGTTTAAAATACATTGCTATCATTACAATTTTCATTTCACATAAGTCACTAAAGAATTTTGAATACATATGATCACTTAAAAACTTTCTCTGATTACTTTTATCTCCAAAAACACTAAGGAAAAGGAGCATCTGCATTTCTGTGACCCTCAGCAGCTAGAAGCATGGCCTCAGTTCCTCGACTTTACAATGAATATTCACAGCTACCTTTAAGACTGGGCCAAAGAGTGACCCAGATAATCCATGTAAAGTGCTTAAAACAGTGCCAAGCACTTGGAGCAAGAGTTCATAAATGTTAGCTACTAGTATTATTATGTGATAGGTGCCCACTAATTAATTACTGAATGAAGTTTGAGGTTTAGGGGGAAAGCATTTTTATCTACAGCTCACTGCCTAAATCCTGACTACACTGGAATATGGAAATACGCTGGAGACCAGTATTCTCTTCCCTTCAGCCCAAGGAAGAAGCACCAGAATGGATGAATATGGTACAGAGATGGGTTTAAAGTGACAAAATAGTGAAGGTGAGTTGCATTATTCCAATAAGACATCTATCCAAACCTAACAGAGGGGGCCAGGAGGTGACTAACAAAAAAACCTTCCAGCAAACTTAATGCATTTACACTTGAAGGGCATCATTAGCACTAAAACTCCTTAATATTCATTAGGTGAAACCCTGTTAGGCCCTTTTGTCCTTTTGTTCCAGAAGTAAAATCAAGATACAGCACCTAGTTAAGTCATCATTCCTTATCACCTAAACAACACTGACAGATGTCACCAGGAGGCCAGACTCAAAGGCAGCTTGCACAGAAGAGGGGGAAACAAGAGAACAGAGTGGGTTTAGGAGATGGGGAGGAAATCTAGGGGTCTGGATTCTCATCACTTAAACGTTGTGTAACCTCATACACGTCGCGTCCCCTTTCTGGGCCTACTGAGAAAAGGAGGAAATGAGATGAGGTATCCACTCCCACTCTGCAGACATTCTGATTTGTGTTTAAAAAGCAGAGGGAATGCACATGATGGAAGCGCTGGAAGGGCCACACGATTTTTAAAAAACAGCTCCCCCGTGGGGTGTCTGCAGCCTGGCTTTGCGGGCCTCCCGCGCGTAGGGACTCCGGCGCCGGGTTTCAGCGCCTCCGATGAGGCGCTTGCAGATCCCGCCCGAACTCGGAGCGCCAAGCCGACTCAAGGATAGCCGCCCTCCGCAGGGCGAAACCCCCAACGGCAGGGACGGGGGCGGACCCGAAGGCTCGGTAAGGGGCACTTCTCCCCGCCCCCAAGGGGCGTGTGAGGGGGCTGACCGCTTTGCTAAGCCCAGCGGTACCCCGGTGCGGAGCTCCTAGCTCGTCACCTACCGCCTACGCAGCCCCGCAGCAGCAGCCGCCGCTCCCCAGCGTAGCCGGGCCGCCGCTGCCATCTTTGTCCGAGTGCGCAGCGGTGGGGGAGCGCTCCCGCTTCGCCGAGCGGCGGAAGCCCCGCGCAGGCGCAGGCCGACCGGGAGCCGACCGGCTCCGCGGAGAGTGTACCCTGCCGGCCGCGGGCGGCGCTGCTCGCGATGAGCGGCAGGGGCAGGCGCCCGGCGCCGGCCACCTTTGCCCACCTGCACAATAAGCCCGCACCAGGGCTGGGGGAAGTCCAGGAGACGTTTGCGCAGGCGCTCTCGGTAAGACACGCGGGACTCGGCGCGCAAGCGGAGCGCTGCATCACCTTTCCTTCTTGATGGGTGCTGTGCTTACAGGGATGAAGGCCGGCAGGTGGAATGCTGTTCCCCACCCCTAAACCAACCACAGGGCCACATGGAGGATCCTAGCTCGCTCTCCAGGTCCAGCTCAGTGGCTGCTTCCAAAGACTCCCTGGAGCATCTCCTTGGCTCTCCTTTAGCCTGCAAGATGCCTGCCCTTCTCCCGTGGGGCTGAGGTGGATCTGTCTTACCCTTCTGTTAGGCTGTGCTTGTAGACCCTCTCCTCTTGGACCGACCTCCAAGGAGGACTCACCTGCGGTGCTGCCCTTTGCTGTCTAAGCATGAGTGTTTGACTAGTTTCCAGAGCGAAGTACAAACAATTCTTCCAGAACTTTTCTTGAATATTCCTCTTTCTCAGGGGCAGCAGCAGATGGGGACACACTGGAAACGCAAATTAGCAGGCCCCGCCGTAAACCTACTGAATCAGTCTCTGAAGGTGGGGTCGAGTCATCCTTTGTTTGTTTTTAAGATTTTATTTATTTCAGAGAGAGAGCGCGATCGAGCACGAGGAAGAACAGACCCTAATAATCCGTTTTAATACTACCTGCAGGAAAATGTGAGAACCACTGCTCTAGAAGGTAAGCACAGTACTGGTTTCTGGACTAGAAACAACACACCTGTTGTTGGACAGATTGAAGACACACCCAATATAACCCTGGTGGTTTCTGTGGCCCAGAGAAGTGTCTAAAGGGGGTGGGTGGGGGCTGCAAGCCTGTGCAGGTGTGGACTTGGACACTGAGCAGGCCATGGCTCCTGAGTACAGTTACATTCTGGAGGCTCTTCCCTACAGAACCAAATGGCATAAAAAGAGTTTTAATCTTTTATTTGTTTATTTTTTTAACATTTTGTTTATTTGAGAGAGGGAGAGAGGACGAGAGGGGGGAGGGTCAGAGGGAGAAGCAGACTCCCCTCTGAGCATGGAGCCTTATGTGGGCCTGGATCCCTGGGACTACAGGATCATGACCCCAGTGGAAGGCAGTTGCTCAACCAACTGAGCCACCCAGATGCCGCAGAGTGTTAATCTCTTAACACTTCTAATCTTTAGTTTTTCACCTCTCATTCCTGAAACCACACTTCTCAAATTATTTTTGAGAATAATACGTCCCAAATTATTTCCGACCTCAGGGCCTTTGCATAGATTGCTCCCCTTATGGGGAATACCTTCTCCCTCTGCCAGCCTCTTTTTTTTTCCTCTTCCCCTCATTTTTCCTTGAATTGCTCCTATTAATTCCCCCATGTCTGAATATAAGGTAGGGATATTCTCCTTAAATATCCTACCTTAGGGGGCCTTTTCTAACACCTCTTTTCATCCCCATCCAAATAGTCTCCTTCGTTATTCTATCTCAACATACCCTCTCCTTTTCCTTCATTTTACATTGTCTCAAGTTAAAATCACGGATTTGGGTGTTAATTTTTCTAATGACCCTTTCCCCACTGTATCCTAAGACTTATGAAGGGTATGTCTGTCTCTTTACTCTCGTACCCCAGTAGCACCTACTGTAATACCTGGCACATAGTAGGTGCTCCACAAGAAGTAGTTGAGTGAATGTAGTCACCTCAACCCTTCTTTCAAATCCAGGACACTTGTTCACTCTGTGTGATGACCGTGTGGACAGCAGAAGGAGAGGGCCTGGCCTCACTCACCCCTTAGCTTGTGCTATGCCAAGGCAGGGTGTAGCATCTAATGGAGAGGACTATGGCCATTGGCACATGAAACTGGTGTGAAACAGCCTTCACTTTTTTCCCCAAATATACTAGAAGGAGGGTGACTTTTTTTAGGAAAGAGTAAAACTACTACTTGAGATATCTGGGTCTCTATTTATGCCCCGCTCCTTCCTCTTTCTCTCTCTGTCAAGTACACCATGCTTTTACACACACACACACACACACACACACACACACACACACACACATTCATTCACCATGATAACTGATAGACAACTGATATTTTCCCCAGTACTATTTCAATAAGATGTTGGCTCTGTTTTAATTCTTGGCTAAGAAGATTACCAGACCATGTGACATGGACCAAAAAATCATTTATTTACTCATTTATCATTTATTCAATAACTATTTTTTAAGCATGAAATCTTTCCATTTGCAAGACACAGATGGAGCTAGAGAGTATAATGGTTAGTGAAATAAGTCAGAGAAAGACAAATACAATATGATTTCACTCATATGTGGAATTTAAGAAACATAACAAGCACAGATCAAAAATAAGAGAAATCAGAAAGTAGATGCTTGGGACGCCTGGGTGGCTCAGTTGGTTAAGCAGCTGCCTTCGGCTCGGGTCATGATCCCAGCATCCTGGGATCGAGTCCCACATCGGGCTCCCTGCTCAGCAGGGAGTCTGCTTCTCCCTCTGCCTCTGCCTGCCACTCTGTCTGCCTGTGCTCACTCTCTCTGACAAATAAATAAATAAAAGCTTTAAAAAAAAAAAAAAAGAAAGTAGATGCTTAATTATAGAGAACTGATGGTTACCAGAGGGGAGGTGGGTGGGGGATGGGTGAAATAGGTGATGGGGATTCAGGAATGCACTTGTCCTGATGAGCCCTGGGTGAGGTATGGAATTGTTGAATCACTGTATTGTACACCCAAAACTAATACAACACTGTATGTTAACTAACTGGAATTAAAATAAAAATCACTTAAAAAATGATTTTAAGGGGTGCCTGGGTGGCTCAGTGGGTTAAAGCCTCTGCCTTTGGCTCAGGTCATGATCTCGGGGTCCTGGGATCAAGCCCCGCATCAAGCCCCACATTGGGCTCTCTGCTCAGCGGGGAGCCTGCTTCCTCCTCTCTCTCTGCCTGCCTCTCTGCCTCCTTGTGATCTCTGTCAAATAAATAAATAAATCTTTAAAAAAAATGATTTTAAGATAACTTTTAAAATTAGTTAATTAATTTTCAACATTCATGTGTAATTAACATACAGTGTTACATTGGTTTCAGGTGTACGATGTCAGGATTCAGCAGTTGTACACATTACTCAGCCCTCCCCAAGATGAGTGTACTCTTAATCCCCTTCACCTGTTTTATCCATCGCCTCATCTACCTCCCCTCTGGCAACCACTACTTTGTTCTCTATAATCAGGAGTCTGTTTTTCTGTTTGTCTCTTTTTGCCTTGTTCATTTGTTTTCTTTCAATAACTGTTGAATGCTTTCTGGATAGCATGGTGCCAGGCACTCGCTTTGTCTTAGGCATTGAGGCAGACGATGCTGGTTACCTTCCAGTGTTCACTTTGTCCTTCTTTACTAGTCAACACTGACCTTGCTTAGGTGGCAGTGTGTTCAGTCTAAGAAGAAGAAGAAGAATTCCCCTAGCCTCTCGTGCAACTACAGCTTGTCGTGTGGCACAGTTCCATCCAATAAGACAAATGTGGAAGATGGTCAGAACTGTCTGAGAAGGTTTTGCTTTCCTGCCCCCTGCGCGGGTCCTTCTTCCTGCTTGTGTCAGGGCAGGAATGCTGGAGTCAAGGCCGCCATGCTTCAACCATGACATCCCTGAGGCAATGAGCCAACAACCACCAGCAGCCACTCTCTTCCAGACTGCTTAGGGCATGAGAAAAAAATCAGCCACAGTTTTGCTGATGCCACAGGTTAACCAGGTTTCCCGTTACTCAAGAATGATCCAAATCCCTGGCTTGAGGATATAAACATGAACAAAATAATTCGTAGTCTCAAGGAGCTCCTAGAGGAGAGACATTGGAAATCAAAACAGGCAACCCCAGGGGACAACATGCTCCACAAGGGCCCACTGGTGGCAGGTGGGAGAAGTGAATGAGGACTTAGAGGTAAGAGGAGAGCCCGAGGAAGGCTTCACATGAGAGGAAAGTCTTGTGTTGTGTGTTTAAAGAAAAAGAAGTGTTAGGATGTTCCAGCAGTTGCTGGCAGCACCGTGCAGAACCAGCCCACTAGCTCCAACTCCTGGTTCTGCTGCTCACTCGGTAGCCTCGCTGCATGTGAACTGCAGACAGGCACGCAAGTTTATCTTTTTGATTTCGTTCCCAGTGCCTGGCATTTAGGAGAGGCTCAAAATACACTTGCTGAATTGAGACCTCTCTGAAGTCCCATAGAACCCAAGGTGTCCCATGGGCACCTTCTCCCATATTTTATTTCATGTTTATGCTAATAATTTATAGCCATTTACCCCCTCTAGAAAGCATATGGCACAAGGGGTCCTCCATTGGTATCTGAGGTAGCTCGAATGCCTAGAACAGTGCCTGGCACACAGTAGGTACTCAATAAATTCTTGTTGAATGAATGAGCCCCAAGTTTTCTCATCTATAAAATGTAGATAACTATAGCTATCAAAAAGGATTGAGTGGATAAGAGAAAAATGCATTTCAAATGCCTTGCCCTGAACTTCTCACATGGGTAGCTGTAACGATGCTTTTGTCTTCTCCTATAAAACTTGGAGACCCATTCCTAACACAGCTACAAGCAGCAACACCTGAGGTCAGCAGCATAGTCTGTTCTTAGAACTGAGACTGGTGTGAGCATTTCTGGGGGCCAGTGTGGCAGTTCCAGCCTAAAGTACTGAAAAGACAAAGACAGTCTGAGCAGCAGGGCTCACTGATTTTTGAATCAAGTTCGTGAATACTGACTTTTCCCCCAAAGAGAAATTCTTTCCCGGGACCAGTTCTCTCCTGGCAGACTTTTCAGTACTTTAGGCTGGAACTGCCACACTGGCCCCCAGAAATGCTCACACCA